AAAAGGAGGGGGAAATGTAGTAATTAAGTTAAGTACAACGTATAATTAATACCTCCTTAGCAAAAGGGTTTGCAGGAGCAAGGTATCGGTTGCCCTGGCTGTTAATTGTAGGATCCGCACTTCCACCAATTGCGTACATTTCCCAGTGTGTGTAGTCGTTGTTCACCACGTGGAAGTAGCCGTGCCGACACCTGCCACCCAAAATCAATCAAGTTTGTTTCCAATCCTGCAACGACTAGCATGAATCTCTTAATTGGTTCTATATATATCTCATTTGTTTTTTACCTTGGCATCCTCTGGATAAGTCCTTCCCCAAAATGGTTGTAGGCAATCGTCACTTGCATTTGTTTGTCCCTCGTGTAGGAGTCGCTATGTCCCAATAGGATCACCTCATTGTGGTGGGTAAAGAAGTTGTTGGAAATGGTAATGGCGGTCGACCCCATGATGGCATCCACCAGGCCGTCAGCGCAGTTGGAGAGGGAATTGTGGTCGACCCAAATGTGGCTGGATCCGAAAATGGAAATCCCATCTCCATCCGCCATGGTCCGCCACCCGTAGTGGACCGGGGAGCTGCGGACCATGGCGTTTCCGGTGGGCTTGCAGTCGTGGATGTGGAGGCCGTGGATGATGACGTTGGTGACGAACTGGATTGTGATGCAGGCTCCGTTGGCGATGTGGACGTTGGCTCCCCTGCCGTCGATGGTCTTGAAGCTGTTCATGATGAGCTCCTGCTTCAGCGTGATCACCATGTCCCTCTTGAACACGATCCAGAGCGGCCTGTCCTGAATCACGGCGTGTCGGAGGGTCCCCGGCCTCGGGCTCACGGGGTCGTCGTCGCCGGGGTCCGACACCACGTAGTAGCGGCCGTCCCGGCCGCCGATGGCATTGCGGCCGAAGCCGATGGCGCAGTTGGCGAGGCGCTTGCGGTGGGATTGCCAGTTGGGGTCGCACCGCCAGCAGTCGTCGATTGGATTGCCCGTGGAGCAAGAGAAGTATCCCAAGTTCCTTCTGGCCGTACTGTTCATAATGCTCCTGGAAAATAAAGTTCATTGTTCGCAAATTAATTGATAATCTTAAAAATATGAAACGAAAGAGCAGGCGATTGGAGTGTTTGGACTAATATTGGTCTAGTTGGCAGTTGCAGAATTTGTGCAGGCAGAGCCACATGCAGAAAGATGGAAGGGCATGTGGGAGATGGATACGGATACTTGAATACGGTCCATACGGAAGGAAAGAAGGAAGGAAATGCTGCAATAATAATGGCTTCTTTCATAAATGCGACGGTGGGGATGGAAAATTCTTGCGTCCAACCCCTGTTGGAGTTAGAGGCTCCAACCTGCCATTTGTCAGCCCCATATTGGCCAACCAACCTTCCTTTTCCCTTATTTTAATTATTTTTTATCCTTTACCATTAATCAAATTATGAATTAAAAATGAAAAAAAGCTTTGACGGAAACGACAGAGAGACGGAAGGAAGCTGGGAAGGCAACTTCTGGATTATAATTTTTATGTATGTTGTATAATTTTATTTACTACTATTTTAAATTGATGTCAATTTTTCTCTTTTTTGCATGAAGCAATAGCAAATCCTCATTTTGATGATGAAAATTTGTGATAAGATTTATGTTTCAACCGCCATGGATTATTGACTTCGTTTCTTTTATTCGGATATTCTATTTATGTTTATGTTGGCACTGTAATACTAAGTATGGTGTTGAAAAAAATTTTAAATTATTTATGATATTGTGAGATATTTTTTCCGTATTTTGTACAATGGTCATATTAATGTGAAATTGTCATAAATAATTTAAAATTTTTTTCAACACCATACTTAGTATTACAGTGCCAACATAAACATAAATAGAATATCCGAATAAAAGAAACGAAGTCAATAATCCATGGCGGTTGAAACATAAATCTTATCACAAATTTTCATCATCAAAATGAGGATTTGCTATTGCTTCATGCAAAAAAGAGAAAAATTGACATCAATTTAAAATAGTAGTAAATAAAATTATACAACATACATAAAAATTATAATCCAGAAGTTGCCTTCCCAGCTTCCTTCCGTCTCTCTGTCGTTTCCGTCAAAGCTTTTTTTTCATTTTTAATTCATAATTTGATTAATGGTAAAGGATAAAAAATAATTAAAATAAGGGAAAAGGAAGGTTGGTTGGCCAATATGGGGCTGACAAATGGCAGGTTGGAGCCTCTAACTCCAACAGGGGATGGTGGAGGAGAACTAATTCCTGTCTCTTCTCTGTTCCTCGCTCTGTCGGTGTAACAATAAAAATGGGTCTCATTTATTAATGTCTATAATACTATTTAGATATGTGACTATCAGAATCGGCAGATGCTGGTGCTGGTGCTGGTGCGAGATCTGCCAAAAATGCCAAAAGAGCTCGCTCGGATAGAGCAGAGAATGACAATTAACTGATGGGGGCTGGCGAATACAAGATGAAATAATATCAAATACTACAAAGTAAAAGAGCCGTGAGATGCGGATCCCACACAACATGGGCATGTGCACTAGCAGTTAAGCTAAGCTCTGGAGAAAGGCACGTAGCAGAAAAAAGGATGCTGGGCTTCTAATTGTTAATTGACTAACAGTTCGTTTCGAAGTTGCCTATGTTAAATCGTTGTATTGTGAAGAATTATTGCAATATATAATACATATATTGATACAACCGTTGCATTTAACATTACATTGTTTGGTTGTTGAGTTTATAGGTTAGTGAATAGGGATTAACTTGTATAAAGTAACTTTTTTGTGGAAATATCACATTTACCTTTTATTTTAACATACATGTAACTCTTTTCCTACTTTTAGTTGAGATTGTATAATAACTTTTTTTTTGTTATTGTAGGTGGGACCCACACAAAACAATACATGCATTGTTTTGCACTTTGACAATTCCAAACGTTGTATTATGGATAATGCATGTATTCTATAAATACAACACTCAGAGTCGCAACTTCCAAACGATCCCTAAGTTGTAAAAAAAGGAGGGCACAACTGGAAAGACAGACAAAGTGTATGTTGTGAATGCAACAGAAGAGTGTAAAACATGGGACTCGGTGGTTGGATAATTGCGCTAACCTCCAATTCTTGGGCACTTCTTCATCTACTTGACATTATAAGGTCTGGGTGGAAATGGAAATTTCAAATGAAATGAAGCACTACATACACTCTGTGTACGTTATCTTTCATTTTGATTTTGTTTTTCCTACCCTCCTCTCCCGTATTTGGAAAAAAGAATTTGGTTGGGAGTTGGGACAGAGGTTAGTTGGTTAATTAAGAGTTAGATTAGATAGAGTGAAAGAAAGATTAATTAGGAGTGAGGACATCTAAATTTTCTTTTCTCTTCTTTTCCTTTCCCTGCCATGTCTTGTTAGTTTATTCTCTTTGTTTGTTTTTTTTTTTTAATTTTTGCCAATTTTGTTAGTTTCTTCCATTGGTCATGTGAGCACATTAGAGTGTTCTCTTTTAGCTCTAGGGACCACGGCCTTGAGCACATGGAAATTAACTCCCCTCACCAGACCAACACATAATTAATAAAAGAATTCCTCCTATCTGTCAAATCTGGCATGTGATTGGTTCGCAATTGAGAAAAAGGCACAAACCAAAAAGAGAGAGAAATGAAAAAGAAGAAGGAAAAAAAAAAAAAAGAATTACTCACTGGTTCACTGATTCAGCAATCTCCTCCGGGTTGTCCACAGCATGCTCATTTCGCACCTCGTCCTCCTTCTCCACCCTGCAGTTTTCAATTTGTTAAAAAAGCCAAGTGGGAAAAAAGCTCAATTTTGTTCGCAACTAACGCGGAGGGGTATCCGGATTCCATGTTTTTTCTTTCCTTTTTCTTCACTCGTTCTATCTTTCTCGTTTCATGGACTCGTTGAATTCCAAGTATTCAACAATCAAACTGCCAAACTGATGACCCAACTGTTTAGTTCAAACTGATGAGAAATTTCTACTGTTTGATCCCTTATACTGTTTACTATTGGGCGAGCAGCAACCCTAAATCTTCAAGTTTAAACCTAAAGTGTGTTTTGCAATTAGCGCCAACAGCACAAAACAACACTACGGAGTTTTTTTGAATTTCTCAACACCCAAGACCGTAGCATATCCAAAAAAAAAAAAAAAATAAATAAGCAACTGACCTGTTGCTAGCGATGGAGGAATTCTTCTTCCAGCTCTGCAGCAGCTCCAGCGATTCCTCCTTCCTATGGACACACATATATGATTGCCAAACGGATTTAATCACCTTGAAGAGTTTTTTTTTTTCATACCAAATCACATAATTTCATACAGTGAACCAGGAAAAGAAGGGACATCTGATTGATTTTATGCTCAAGCGCCACTAGAACTAAGAAACAGAGCAAAACAGAGACGAAGCGCGAGGGAGGGATATGCGCGGCGTTTGAAGCAGAACATCGGAAGTTGGTGATACTGAATCTAGTCACCGGAATCTGAACAGAGCGGAAAGGGAAATGTACCTCAAATTGAGCGGCTGCTGTTCCTCATCTGCAGCTGCTGCGACGAAAAACAGAGCCAAAACTAGCAGTGTGGCTATCCGTGGAAGCGAATACGCCATTGCTTCCGACTTTTTACAAGAAAACCTTCACCAAAGGAACGGCTCTCAAATCTTGCCTTGCGACCTCTCTCCCTCTCGCTTTCTCTCTGCCTCAGTTCAGTTTGTACGACGGGGATCTAGGTAAGAAAAGAATAAGAGAGGAGATGAGAGGAGTCAAAGAAAAGCTGAAGCAGAGAGACCCGTTTTATAGCAGAAAAGAAATTTTGCCGGTGCGCATTACTACCCCCGCCTAACGTGGGATTTATTTCTAAGCCAAGTCATCCCCCGCTGAATTTTACCCCTTGGGTTAAGGTAGAAATCATAAGTCACCGCCACTAACTGACTTCCCTCTTTGTTTTTCGATTTTATTATTTAGTTTAATTTCAACTCTGCCATTCCACGACTCATGTGGGGTGGGGCGGTCAATCACATGCTATGCCATCTCCAATCTGACACCTCAGCTTGACCCCTTTTTTTCTTCTTCTTCCGGCCCAGCCTCCATCTCAGCCTTGATGGATGCTGTTTGTTTTGCTGCTCGGGCCGGTGGTGGCCGCCGGAGATTTTAATACTCGGCGGCTCTGCGTCGCTGATTGGCGGGAAAGCCACGTGGGGGGAGCTGGATTCCCCGGCGAGAATTGACAGGTGTCTTTGGCGGGATTCCGTAAACCGCTGTACGTCGTGCGGACCTCTTCTTCCACCGCATCTTCCGGACAATTTGGGTGTGATTGTTTCCATGATTTCTTTCATCAAATTTTTTTTTCTCTCAAACTTAAAGTCTTTTTTTTTTTTTCAAATCAAACTTACTTGATTTCTTCCGCTCTCCGGTCAGAATTATTATTTTATTAATGTATTTATTCATTCCTAATTTCATATACGTCTACATTTTTAGCATACACAATTATCTCAAATTTATTTCAATGCCATCAACATACAATTGAAACTTGCGAACCCAATTAATGTATTGTATGCTTAACTTGATCTGGCCATTAGATGGACTTGTATTTTGATGATCTCCGATCAATCTCAACGCTCAATTATAATTTTAAATTAAATTGAATTTTTTGTTTGGGTTTAGAGAATCAGGCTTAGGGTTTATCTATTTGAAGTTAGGGTATATCATCATACCCCCAAACTCGGTTTACTGGCCTGAATAGAAATATCTCATAACAAGTACATAAAATACAAAAATTATGGTAGAACTGAACTTGTATTTTTTATTTTATACAAATTCAACTTTTACCTATATCTTTCTTACAAATTTGTTTATGGTACAAACTGAACTTGGCATTTTAACGTTATGGTACCAATTCAGTTTGTACCTATACCTTTCCGAAGAAATTCATTTATGGTACAAACTAAACTTGTACCTTTAACATTATGGTACAAGTTCAGTTTTAACTAAACAAAATTTACAAATTCTTTTATGGTATAAACAGAACTATTACATTTATATTATGGTACAAGCTCAACTTGTACCTAGAAGCACCAATACTTTAGAACATAATAGAGGTGCGCGAGTTGTAATTAACAATTACATTGATGCAAGAGGTTAATTATGCAATTTTAATCTCAATAATAAACTTGCATGGTGAAATTGCATGAGAATGTCGAGATATTATTAGGTATGGGCGAACTTGTTATAAGATGAACACTGAAAATTGGGGTAACCAGTTTGACTAAGTTGTGGACTAGGTCACTATGTATAAGACATTTGCGGCACTGCCTCATATTGCGCACACATACTATCATTCAATCGCATCTAGGATAAAAACATGAACTTTCTCGACTCTCGATTTTGGCAAAAACTAGAGCTCTATGAAGAATACTCACTTCATTTTTCTGCTCTCTAAATTGTGTCTTTATAGAGTTTGAGAGGTATGCTATTTATAAGAGCAGAAACTTTAGTTTTTCTTTTTAGTGTGAAATAAGTCACACAGTTAAGGAAGATAATTATTCTCTTAATTAATCACAAACTAATCTAGTAAGATACATATTCAGTTATTAATTATCCCTTCTGTATCTTGAAAGATACTAAATAATTAATTCTAAATTTCTCCAAAATAGTATAATCTCAAGCCGACCAACTCAGCCACCCATTCACTCAAGTGGAAGTGCGACGCTTGTGTGTGGTTCAATGATCACTTAGGTACTCCAACTTACACAAAATTGAGTATAGTTCTTATTTGTTATTTATTAATGACTCACGAGGAAGGTAACAACTCTTACCTCTTTCCAAGAAGTAATTTCCTTCTGATTTTGCAATGAATAGCTAGCAACACATATAACTTCCTTGTTTCTCGTCCTCCCTCTCTCGAAAATGCATTCTACGCTGCACACAACATAGAGTTCTTCAAGTTCTACCGCTTTTTTCCCAACTTAGTAGAAAGGCATCTCGATATGTTTGCCTCTCTTTTTTCCCCGACGTCTCCAGAGTCCATATACGTATACATAGTATTATGCCCATACGAATTGTGTAATTCCGCTTGTACGTCAATACTTTCGTGGGAAACTTTGACGGGTCGTTTGGATTAGTGAATGTGATGAGGGATTTATGAGTGATTTTAAAACAATCTCTCATTATGCAGGATTTTAAAACAATTCTGCGTTTGGAAAGGTGAGAGATTGTGGGCATGAGGAAATTCTAAATCTCTCATATGAGAGTTTTTAAAATAGCTGATGGGAATCAGTTATTTCACAATCACTCATTTTTTCTCATTCTTTTCCAAACTCTGTCCCTCCTTTTGTTCTTCCTTTCTTATTCTTCCTTAGGGATTAGGGATGGGTATAATTGTAACTTTAATTTTTAATTAAAATCCTTCATCTATTCCCAAACATGTTATTTGGATCAAATCCCACGTTTAAAATACCTGGGTTTTTAATTGAGAGATTTTAATCCAAATCCCTCATTTACACATTCCCTAATCCAAACGACCCCGACTAGTTTTTCATGCTCCAAAGCTTTATGATACATTTCTCCAACAAAACCACCCAAATCCGAATGTGTCACGAGATCTACCAAGAAGGGTTCACCAAATTAATTAGGGTCACTGTTCTGGCTGAGTCACACAGTAGTCACTCTTTTTTTATTTATATAAAGGTGATATAGGTTTCGTAATAGAGGCGGTAAATGGATGTAATTCATTGATTGGTGGATCCATGGATCAAAAGGTTCGGTGGTTTGATCCATGGATCCAAATGACATCCAAAACTTGGACCAATATGTATATTTTGAAAAAAAATTATGTACTAAAATGTCATAACAAAAAATTTTAGTTACCAAAGCATTCAATGACATTTTTTTAACAATAAATTTCAGGTACCAAAATATAAAATATAAAAAATATAGGTAATAAATTGCAATTTGTTAACAATCCATTAATCCACCAATCCAATTGGATTTGGATAAAATGGATTCGATTAGTTGGATATTTTAGTGACGGATTGGATTGGATTCCTGGATTTGGATACTAATTGTCATCTCTAGTTTGTTTTTAGTAAAGTGATACTTAAGGGATTCGAATTGCGAACTAGATCGTTCTCTTTAAGACATTTGCGACACTTCGTTGTATTGTGCACAACAGAGTATCAACAAGTCACCTCCAAAATAAAACAACCACTCTCTCGACTCTATGTTTGTGCAAAGTTCGGAGCTCTTTGAAGAATAATCACTTTTTTTTTGCTCACAGAATTGTGTATCTAAAGTGTCTGGGAGGCTGCTATTTATAGAGGCATAAACCCCCTAGGTTTTCCTCTTTCGTGGGGAATCAACCACACGGTTAAAGAAGATAATTATATCCTTAATTAACTGCAGTAAGATAAAAGTTCATTTATTAATTATCTCTTACGTATATGGAAAGATAATGAATAATAAATTCATCATTCTCCCAAAATATTATAATCTTAAGCCGACCAACCCACCCACCTGCTTGCACAACGGATGAATGAAACGCATGTGTGGTTTGAAGTCCACTTAGATCCTCGCTCTTCCACAAAATTGGGCAACCGCAAAGGCTACACCCTTTTGAGAGGGAATCTATCTTTACTCACCTTCTTCAGGGCCTTATTCACCAATGTGGTACTTTAGACTTTATTATAACTTTCAAAAGCTATTCATTTCCAATATAACTTTGAAGACGGAAAAAATCAACGATAAAGTTTGGATGAGAGTTGAAATCTGACAACCAATACAATTACAAGCATAAAAGTTGAAGATCACAGAAGGCATAGTGACGATTACGAGAAAGTGAATGCAACAACCGTAAAGATTTGGTTAGGTCTCATCCTTTCAATCACCAGGTCTGCCTTGTCGGCTTGGTACCCTCTTGGATCTATACTTAGTTTTTAGAATATCATCAAGTTGGTACCTTGTCGCCCTATCGGCTTGGTACCCTGTTGGCTCCATGCTTAGCCAGATTTCATATCTTGGTACCATGTAGTGGCGTAGCCATAAATTCATCCAAGGTAGGTCAAATATGGAGGGGAAGATTACATAAATTTTAGGATGTGTTTATTTTCAGAAAATTCTCTAAAATACATTCATAATGCAAATTTCAAGGGATGTGAATATACCACAACGAAAAACCATTCATATTCCACAACTAACCTAATTCTGAACGGTTTCTTTACTTTGCTTATTACAGTAAGTGCTCTTTCAATACTTGCATGGCAACCAATAGCAACAAACACGGCTAAGTTTCAAGTTTTTATTTATATTAAATTCACTTACAGATTATATGAATGAAAAATTAAATAGAAATCACAAAACATTATTTTTCGTAAAATTATGTATAATAATATGGACATCTTATTCAATCTAACCTCAAATAAACAAATTTGCTCTACATGTTTTGGGCCAAGGTGGTGCAAATGATCCACCTTGGCACCAAGTGGCTCCGTCACTGGTATCATGCCTGCCTTGTTGGCCGGGTACCCTCTTGGCTAGCTACCAAGTCTGCCTTGTTTCCAAACTTAGTATTTTTAGAGTCATATTTCATACCACCGGACATTGATTATGGAGACCATAGGGGTGAATGACCACCAAGTGGCTCCGTCACTGGTATCATGCCTGCCTTGTTGGCCGGGTACCCTCTTGGCTAGCTACCAAGTCTGCCTTGTTTCCAAACTTAGTATTTTTAGAGTCATATTTCATACCACCGAGCTTGTTACAATGGAGAAGCGACATTGATTATGGAGACCATAGGGGTGAATGACCACCAAGTGGCTCCGTCACTGGTATCATGCCTGCCTTGTTGGCCGGGTACCCTCTTGGCTAGCTACCAAGTCTGCCTTGTTTCCAAACTTAGTATTTTTAGAGTCATATTTCATACCACCGGGCTTGTTACAATGGAGAAGCGACATTGATTATGGAGACCATAGGGGTGAATGACCACCTAGTCCATGGAGAGAAAATTTACCAATTTAGGCCCAAAAACCCAACTCAATAAGGCCCAGCTAGCTCATTTAATTACTAATATTGAGTTGGCCTTATAAATCCATTTGAATCTCTGATAATTAATCAATGTGGTACAAGCTGAATATTTTTATACGTACACAATGGTACAATGGTACAAATTCATATTGTACATATATCTTTTATTACAAATTTCTTTAAATTATAGGCTGAACTTGTAATTTAACGTTATAGTAAAAGTTCAGTTTGTACCTATACATTTTGCTACAAATTCTTTTATTATCTTTAATGTAATAAATTTATAATAAAAGTTCAACATGCGCTT